TATTTTTTCAGATTATCATCGGGAAATTAAGAAAAAAAAATTTTTTTTTGGTCCATATTACTCACATCTAGTTGAATATTTAATATGTCCTTCTGTATTAAAACTAGGGATGCAGAACATTTCACATGGGCCTTATTCCACAGCTCCTAAACATGGAAAAACAAAGCAGCATTCATGGGCTCATTGTAAAGGGAATTACATTTCTTTAGTAAGACCAGACTGGTTTTACTGCTATGGTCATTTACAAATATTTAGATCATGTACTTTATGTATGCTGGGCTTTTCTGATCATTATATGGTAATAGGAAATGTTTTTATAAACAAAATAAGACCTAAAAGTGCATTTTGGCACTTCAATGCTGTTTTATTAAATGACGGTTGCTTTAAGAAAGGATTTTTTTTTGGAAGCAGTAGAGAATTATGAAATGTCTGCTTATGTAAAGCAGTGATGAATCTGAGATAATGCAGTGAATTCCCTCATTCATTGTTTTCAGTCTGAAGATGGAAAAGAGTTTACAGAATGCACTGAAATATTTTTTATTTATTTATTTTTTCAAAGTTTGTGTTAGTGAGTTTAGAGAAGATTCTGGTGACAGAAGAGTTGCCAAAGATTTCAGAACGAGGTAATCCTTTTTTGGAGCATGCTCTAACCTTACAAGGACTGCAGGAGGCGCTGCTGAGCATGGGAAAGAGGTAAAGCTCCAGGATAGATGGCTTTCCTGTGGAATTTTCTAAATCATGCTGCTCTGCATTGGGCGTCCTCAGTATCAGTGTGGAGAGGGGAACGTGTTGCAGAGCTGTGCTCACTGTTGTTCCTAAGAAGGAGAATCTATATGAGATAAAGAATTAGAGACCTGTCAGTCTGTTATGTGCTGATTATAAGATCTTCCCAAAAGTTCTGGCTTGCAGATTGAGAAAAGTGATCAAGTTATACATGTTGATCAGTCTTATTGTATCCCTGACAGATCAATAAGAGATAACATATCATTAATTTGAGATTATTTGGACATCTCTATTTTATTGGATGTGCTGACCAAAAACAGAATTTGATAAGGTGGAGCACCAACATCTCTGTTTGAGCAGTTTGAACGCCCAGGCCCCAAACGGACCCTCAAACGATTCTGAACCAACAATTGAACAGAGGTGAGAGAAAGCATGTGGTAAATCACTGGGAGTGTTGTGGCTGTTGGAACGGTCCGCCTGGGATGACCAGCCACATTAAGCTTGAACATTCTGAGATGCCCCGACTGGATGCTGAAGAAGCGGCTTCTATATGGAAAGAATGGGAGGAACAACGTTCAGGAGAGATGCCTGTGAGAGATGACTGGAGAATCAGAAGCGAGTGGCTTGACTTCCTGATTCGGTGATGAAAAGTGGATCGTGATGTGAAAAGTCTGGACTGAAAATAGTGAGAGATTGGTTTATACGGGGTGAGGAAGGAGTTAAGACAGAAGAGACAAACTGGACAAGAGGCAGCAAACTGATCAGTTTTACTTCTGATCACACTGACTCAGGTGTGGAAAGGGTATGTTTGCTTAATATTGCAGTATAAACCTATAAGCAACAGGTGTCCATGTTGTAATGTGAGATATTTACACACAAAGATTTTTTTCTTTTTACTTCTAATGAAATACACACTAGTGCTTAAAAAAAAGGAAAAGTGAACCACATATTCTGTTTCAGTGTTGGAAATGAAGAGCCACACACTCTTCCTTAGTCTCTCTTTATTTGTTGCTCTCAATGTCACTTTTGTCTCATGGCAGCTTCGCTCTTCATCACAGGACTGTGATGAAGAGGACGGCCTTTTGAAACGTGTTGGTAAACAGACGTTTTTGTAGCCGCATTGGTGTGAAAAAAACATTACTGTAAAAATAAAGTCAAAGGAGAGAGGTTACTGAAATTGAAGCTGTATCTGTTACTCATTTATTTACATATATAAATTGATGAGAATAAGCCCTGCATGTGTCGGTCTCTGCTCTGCACAGTGAAAAATCATGTCTGTACGTGGGATGAAGGTAAGACTGCAGGAATATGAATTCATATTGAGCCATAAAAACAGACTTAGCAGTTACTAGTTAAAGTGCAAACTACACACCCATTTATGTCATGTAACACTGTGTTTGAAACTTAAGTTGTCATTTAGAAATATTCCCATGAAACCTATGACGGTATCTCTGCTTTCCTGGTTGCCACAGTCTCTAAGATGATGGCTTATAGAACAGCAGTCCAGTCTTTTTACTTTTGTCTGGTGGATAATAAGTACCTCATTGTCACATACGTGCCCCCAAGTATGTATTTAATCGAACTATGTTTGCTTATCTTTCAGGCCAACAGTTTACTAGCCACACCTACATCTGTTCACTTTGCGGAACCTTTTGCCCCGACTCCGTGTTTCTGGAGGATCACATCAAACTCATACACCCAGAGGCTGACGACGCGTCAGCCGCCAGGGCCCAAAAGTTCATCTCCTCAGCTGGACCCGCTGGGGAAGATGGCAGCAGTGATTCTGTCAGCGTTGGGAAGGGGACCAGTGAGGGCAGTCCAGGAGTGAGCTCCGGTGTTAGCGCTGGAGGAGGACCAGCGAAAAAGGAGATTAAAACTGAAGGGGGGTACGAATGTGGGGACTGCGGCCGTCACTTTAACTACCTTGGCAACCTGAGGCAACACCAGCGTATCCACACTGGAGAAAAACCTTTCATGTGTCCAGAATGTGGCGAGAGGTTTCGCCACGCCGCCCGATTAAAAAGTCACAGGTTGGTGCACAGCGGCGCCCAGAGTCCTTTCCCATGTCCGCAGTGTGGGAAAGGTTTCTCTGTGCTTTCTGGGCTCAAACGACACCAGAGGGTCCACACTGGTGAGAGTCCGTATGCCTGCCCCGAGTGTGGCCGATGCTTCAAAGAGCTAGGAAATCTGTACACCCACCAGAGGATCCACAGTGGGGCTACTCCTTACTGTTGTCAGCAATGTGGACGGTGCTTCCGCCATCTAGGTACATACAAGAGTCACCGGTGTTCTCCAGCACCATAACCGCCTTGAAAGTACACTGATCGTAAGAGTCATAAAAGATGAAGTAGAAACAAGTTGTAGACCCTGAGATCCTTTTCTGTTACTTTGAGCATTTTGTGACAGTAAAACACACTAGTGATGTGGAAAATATGACTAAAGATGATCATAATGCATCTCAGAACATGTTTTCTAATGCTTCCTGGTTCATTTTTGAGCAGTAGCAATGTTCTCAGGGACTTAAAACGTAACTTGTTTTACAGGTTTTCTCCTGATCCTCTAGTCCATGGAATATACCCATTAACATTGGACTGTATGCATTTAACTGTAATTATTTTTGACAATATATAACTTGTGTCATATCCATGTGAAATAGCAGATTTAATTAAAATATATTTATAGATTTATTCCACCTTGTGAATTGGCTTAAGAGCAGTAAAACCTGGCATGATCATTGACATTGATGACATTCCGCGTGTTTGTATTTTAATACAGTGTTGATTGCAGTTGTATGTTTTAGAATTGCTTGTAAAATGTTAGTAAAAGGTTCCCTTATTTATACATGCTGACAAATGACTGACCATGCTCGTTTCCTCCTGAAAAGTGATAGTCTTGTTTGTCTTTATGCACCACATTGAACTGAACCATAAAACCGTCTGATGAATTCACACAGGTCACACGTGTTCATGTTGAAGACTACAACATCAGTTCCAAGCCTGATCCTGTTGCTGCAGTTTCCAGTATTATTTAGAAGCAGAAGTTTAACAGAAGAGGAGAAATTCTTTCCTTCGGGCTCCGTGGAGGAAGACGGAGGCCTCCACTGCTGACAGTAAAACATACAAATCAGTCTTGCATTTACTGACATGTATGTTGCTGAGCCCAAAGTATCCTAATCTTATTGGATGCCATTAAACTTTAACCAGTTTTAGTTCATATGTGGGTTTTATTACTGTGACAGGGTTAGGGATGTTGTTGTTACTTTTGGAATTATTAGTTTGTTCTTGTGCACAAAATGTCTCAAAAGGACTGTTACAGGATACAGCAGTTTTTTATTCATTAAAGCAACAGTTTATAAATAAACTTTGAGAATCCATTGATGACAGTGATAAGGCTGAATATTCAATATATGATATAAAATGTTTTAAGAAAAATAAAACTTGCATTATGTTTAACGTATGATCTTTAAGTATACGGGTATCCTACATATGGCAAAATGTTTGCTCCAGGAATCGACCTTATATTTCATAGTTCATTCACTGTTGGTGTTTTAATAGTCCTCATTATGCTGTTTACAGTTTAACACCATGAGGCCAACATGATGCATATCTAATCATCACTACCTGGCCTTTGTAAGCAGTGTGGTATTGTCTACATCGACACCAGTCAAACCCAATATGATTAAAAAACCAGCTCTGGTAATATTAGCCTCCCTCTGTTTAGATTCAAGCTCCATCAGACACCAGAGATCTTATTGCTCCATGTGCTCCTAACGGATCACTTCATTCAGACTGCAGGTTTACTGATGGCTCCTAGAAATTCAAAACGTAGAATGTGAGACAGATTCTGTATCATGCTCCTATCCTGTGGAACCAGCTCCATGTTTCAGTTTGCAAGGCAGACACTCTGAATAGACTAAGCTTAAAATGTTCCTTTTTGATAAAACTTATAGTTGACTGGCTTAAGTTATCCTAATCTTCCTCTGTAGTTCTGCTGTTATAGTCACAGCCTTAACGACTTTTCCTTACTCAGCTACGTTCTCCTCCTCCTCTCCCATTTGGTATCACATTCTGTTATTTCGATTTTTACCTTTATTCTCTCCCAGTTTTTGCTCTTCACAGAATCTACATCTGGCATGTCGTTCTGTGTGTGTACGCTCTGTGTTCTCAACTCTCCAGTGAGCCGTGGCAGGTTGCCATTCACGCTGAGCCAGGTTCTGCTGGACGTTTCTTTCTTTCTTCTTCAATTAGAATCTGTATGTATTATTAGATTGACTTTACTTTTTTTTTTTTTGTAAAACGCTTTGAAACGCATATTATGTTGTGAATAAATAAACTAAAAACTGCATTATACCAGAGAGTCCCTATGGTAACCAGTAAAGTATGGCCAGGGGTTTTTGGTACAATGCTGTACTTTGTACAGTACCTTTATTAAAAGGTTGATCTGTGGCTCAAAACTCTCAGTTTTACAACAAACCGTTTTGATTGTACTAATTATCAACATGGAACAGTGAGAAAAATACTGATGATTTTTACAATTTATCAGCAAGGGAAAAAATTAAACAAGAGTCGGTTGTAATTTTAGAATGATATTTAACTCTACAATGATCTTTATGTTACAGAACATGAACAGCGACATTTAAAAACTGTATTTAAAAAATTTGCGTACAGCTGCGATTATTTCAAAATTTCACAAAATAATTGTATTGTAAAAATTAATCAAAATTGCAAAATCTTTGAAAAAGGTAAAATACAAGTATCATATCACCCCATTGAAACATTGTCATCTTAAAGTCAATAAAAGAAGTGCTCTTCATATGAAAAAATATCCTTCTGTAAAAGTGTTTACAGTGTATTTGAAAGCAACTTGAAATAAACATAAATACTGAAATAATTCAAGCAAAGTCAAGCATCTCAGAAAGATAAAATAATACCAAGTCACTATTTTTAATAACTGCAGTATCAGCTGCTATAATAACTGTTTGCTTATATTAAAATGCAAAAAGGAATTTTGTGTTTTAGTTACCTAGTGACAGTTTTGTAAATATTAGAAAAACATTCATTTTTTTGATATAAGGATCTTAAAATAGGTTTTCCGACTGCATATAGTTTTTTTACTGTATTTCTTATGAATGTTTGTATCTGGTGTTTGTTTTATGTGATGAAAATTAGCATTAAATTCAAATTCAAAAATACTTTTTTAATCCCAAAGGGAGATTAGATGTTATTGTAACTCATTAATTTGGATTCTTTAAAGAGTTATTGAAGATTTTGATGGCTGTTGGCAGGAGAGCTCTCTTGTAGCGGTCTGCATTACAGTGATTTATTAGCAACCAATATATAACACTGTATGTTCATTAATATGAACTGTTCCATTTAAATTATATATATATTTTTAAAAAGCTGTTATAATAGAAATGTTCCTAATTATCTTTTGAAATCCTAATATGTCTAATATGGCACTCAAACATACTAAACACTGCCAATTTTTTGTTACTTACCATATGTTTTTAAGTAAAGCAATACAATCAAAAAGTTTTCATTTCCACAGTCACAGATATTACTGCACTTAAAACTTTTGCCCACTTGGTTTTTCATCGTCTATGACTAAAACTGTCTCTCAGTTTACATCTCAGTTTCTGTCTTCATGATCTAAACGGTGGCCTTGTCCCCTGAGGGCCCGGGTGCCCCCTGTTTGTCATGTGCACCAGATATCCAGTGGTAGCACTCGGTGGCATTCTTGTTTCTTGGCTTCACGCCACAATGAGTGCAGTAGAAAATACCCAATGCCACCATCACCACGATGAAGATGCAGATGGGCACCAGCAGGCCAACCAGGAGCCCAGTGTTGCTCTGTTTATGCTCCCTGTCATCTTGGACAGAATCCAGGTTGTCCCCACTTCCACCACCCCCATTCAGGAATGGGGGGAGTGGCTTCGGTGTGGGAACAGCAGGGTTTTGAGAGTGTGTAATTTCCTCATAATTCTTTCCCTCCTTTACAGACTCCTGCCCAGGGAGCTGGGGGTAATCATGGGGAGAGAACTTTTCCTGCTCTGCTTCTTTTTTTACATCTGAATCTGTATGTGGATTGTCCAAACTTTGAGTGGAAGTAGAAAACGATGGCCACCAATTCCAAGCTCCCTCTGAGACTGTAGATGTGGAAAGGAATGGTATAGTTGCAGTAGTTTCCTGTTCATAATCTCCATACAAGTCATCCCAGCTAGTCCGGGGTTCGTCCTGTGAGACACTGGTATCCCACATTTCCTCAGGTTTCGAGGCTGTTAATGGATTGGTCAGCCAGTCCAGAGGTTGCTCCTGATTTTCTGGCCAGTGATCAGTGGTTGGTTCAATATGTCCAACATGAGGAAAGGGAGGAGTGGTAGATCCAACCTGATTGGCCCCTATTTTCTGACATGTTGATTGATCAGACAAAAGTTCATAGCCATTCTTACAGAAGCACTGAAAACCACCGACATAATTGACACACATTTGCTCGCATGTTCCAGGAATCTGACACTCATCATTATCTAGGCATTGTGTGGGGTTTTCTCTATCAACTGTATAACCCAGATGACAGAGGCAGGTATAGGAGCCGAGAATGTTTTCACAAGCATGTTGGCATATGTTAACCGAGCACTCATCTATGTCCTCACATTCCCCTGTTTCATTGATGAAATAACCCTCCAGACACTGACATTCAAATGTCCCTGGCGAATTTGTACATCTCTGCTCACAAGGAGACTGAAGACACTCATCCACATCTAGACAAGCATGTTCATCTGGTGCAAGCATGTATCCATCAGGGCAGGCACAGCGGTAGCCGTCTGAAAGAGGTAAGCACTCAAACTCACAGGGGTCTTCTTGACAAAAGTCAGGCTCACAGGTCTGTCCGTCATATCTGAGACGAAAACCCTTTGCACAGCCACAGGACATCTGACCACCGGCTTGTGTGCAGAAATGTTCACATCCACCATTATCCTGCTCACACAACTGGTATGTAATTGAGGGATTTGAGCAAAATAGCGGTTCAGGATACCATCCGACTGAACTATCGTCTGTCCTCTTCACACATTGAACTTTCTGATTGGCATTTGTGAGACATTGTAAATTAGCAACAGATCCGACTGGTAGATGGGTTAGGGTTGTGGTCAGTAGGTTAAAAGGTGTTGTATAAAGGACAACTCCTGAACCCTCACTTGGCAACAGCGAACACATTCCGTTGTAAGCAAAGTGGCAAAGATATCCATCAGCAGGGATAGAGCATGAACCATGAATCCATTTGAAGTTATCACTGTGTTGTAGTGTGTCGTAGTCAAAAGACACACAAAGAGATACCAAACACATATCAGGAGAGTCCTCTGTTTGCCAGTTGGTATATTCTGTGTCTTGATCGCCTGTTGTCCAAGAGAAACCCCTTAGTGAATCTGAGTTGCACTGACGAGGTTGACGTTGCAAGCCAATCCACACTTTGACCTTGGTACGTGACGACCTCAAGTCCACAGTGGAGAAAAGTGTGGCAATAGCGTTGGCCTCCTCTTTGCGCTTGATGGTAGCCAAATTTCCACCTTTCTCTTTGCAGGACCTCCATGAGTCTAGGAAGATTTTACTTTCAAAGTAAATCACAAAGCAGCCTTCTGCATTACAAAATGCATCTCTTTCTCTCAGGTCCTGACTTAGGACTGAAGAAAATCCAAAGAGTGAATACAGCACAGAAGACAAGAGAAAAATAGCAGAACTAATGAAAAGAAACCCCATTATTTTTCTCTTGTGGATATCTTCTTCCAGTGTACATCAGTCTCTGACTTGATTTTTTTTTTTTTTTTTCCAGTCTGCATGTACTCTTTACTCTGCTGTGTTTAAGCGTATCTTCACAGGCACTGGGATCATGCAAACTGTCCCACGATTCCAGAAAGCACAAAGGGAGGGAATAATAGGGAAGGGGGCTGGAACCATTGACTTAGAGAGGCTGGGCAAGAGAGGAGAGAGGAGGGAAATTGAGGCAAAAATGATTTATTTTTGAAAGAAGTGCAAGTGGTGTCTCTGTGGGGTAGGGTGGGGTATGTGGATGTGTGTGTTTATGTGTGTGCTGGGGGTAGTGAGAAGGATTACACGATGTGACTTTGTGCTAGAGTGGGGGGAGGAGCAGCAAACGATGGAATGCTTTCTTTTAGAGAGTATGTCATATGGTTTTCATAAACCCTGTTCATGGATACATTTACTCTTCAACTATTTGCCTGTACAAGCACACGCACACGTATACACGCACAAACACCTTCTATTGGGACATGTAAAAGCAAAACATTTACTCTGATACACTCACTCTGCAATAAGAATGAATTCCTTCCATGAATTCAGTAGTTATCTTCTGCTTCTTCTGGATTTCTGATCATGCCTGAGGTCAAGTCTTTTTTACCTTTAGTCATGCAAACAAGCATTCTTCCTGCAGTGTCAAACATCTTATTAGTGTGACTCCACTGACTTCACTGTAGCTCTTTTGCAGTCAGGTCCTTGATTAAAATTCAAGTCACTGCCTTTGTGAGTTCACAATACTTTACTACTTTGTTTTGGTTAATTGGATAAAATCCCAATAAATACCCAGTATTCATATGCAAGTTTACCCACATGAATACTTCTGTAAGTCATGGTATGTGAGATTAACTCTTCTGATAGGAAATACACACAAGGAGTCTAATACTTGGACTTCTTGTGTTTTCTTCAGCTTCCTCTCACAGTCAGAAGAAATGCATGTTAGTTTAATGAGCCGTTTTCAGTTGATTTAAGACGTGAGGTTATCCATCGGTTTCCATTCTCAGTATCTCTGCGTTGCCACCCACAAAACAAGCACAAGTGGACGCAGAAAATAGATGGCTGTGATGTAGTTTGATGGTGAATAAATAAATATCCTCAGATTACAGTTGATCTGTTTCTCTTAAAATGGCTGGAAAAATAGAAAAAGTTTTCAAGGTGAGTGCAGAGAAGGCCTGTTGTAAATGGTAACTTTAGTAACTGAATAATCTATTAATTATTCTGACAATCGAACACTCAAGTAAAATCTTGATAAAATAAAATGTAGGTAACTACTACCAGTACAGTAGAATGAATATCAGATATCTGATATCAGTATTGGCTCAAGTAGCCATGCCTGTCATAATAATAGCTCACTTTTTAAGTCAACCTGGACTAAAATTGCACAAAAATCTGAAAATATAGTCAATTCAGTAATAAAGGTAAAAATGACAAAACAACAGGCTCACAAAAACACTTCAAAAACATGTATATTCCAGTTTTTAGATTAGGACTCGTCTTCAATCCGTTTAATATTTGAACTTTCAGAGGCAGACTGGTGCTGGTGTCCATGGCGACAGGCCGGGTCACCCTGGGGTCAACAGTCCATCACATTGCACAATTGGAACGTATGTTATTGAACTGAAATGAATTTTTTGTTAAGTGCCCTGAGACAACGTTTGTTGTGAATTGACACTTTATATATAAACTGAATTGAAACTGAACCCAATGAAGGATCTTCAGTCAGAGGCTTTGTTGGGATTGCTTTGAGACAGACAGCTACAGGAGATTCTTCCTGACCGCACCCATCACCATCTATGACTGGTTTGAGAAACACTGGCAGCAGGTTATTGAATATTCAATCTTCTTTTGATTTTAATTCAACATTGTTTCGCTTAAATTTAACTTGTGATCATATCTAGACTTCTACCTCCCAGCATGATGGCTGATTTGTCTTTGTTAGAACATTATGTCCTTATAAGGGCACAGACACATGTACACTTTTGGTGTATGCTACTGTGGGAAGTTAGAAAGAGACCCCATCCCTGTGTGTCTCACTCCCTCACACACACATGCGCATACACACACAGCTATTATTGTCACTGTGGAAAAGTTGTTGGATTGTTTTTCCTTTCAGTTGACTATGTGTGCTCCTAAACTGGATGCGGGTTTGTTTCTCTAACAAATTGCGTCTATCAATTTAGAGGCAAATAAGAGGAACTAAAAATATTATACACTAATGTGCAAAAACAGACATAAAGGGGCCCATGTGGTGGAGTAGATAGAGGCAGCGGTCCTCAGCACAGTGGCTCCCCCATTTGATTCCCAGGATGCACGTTTTCTTCATGTCTATCTACTTAAATAAAGACCATTAGCACCAAAAAAAAAAAAAAAAAGAAAATAACTGCTCTAACAAAATGTGGTATTTTCTACCTCCTAATCAGTTGGAACCTCTCCAGTGCATTCAGCCTAATTTATGCTTCAGAGACCTTCAATGATCTCTTTGTAATGTGTGCTTCTTCTCAAAGCTGTTTATCACGATTCTCTGGGATTTGTCAGAAATTTTGAAAGTCAGACAAAATTGTCAGTTTTTTTCTCCGCATAAAAGTCACAACCAACTTAAAGTCTAAAACTTTGTTTCCATTTCAAACCTTTTTCTGATTGATTTTTAGAGACTTTTACACCTTTGCTCCCGTGCAGAGAGGCAGTCAGGATGTTGTATCATCATTTATCCACTTGGCAACTTGCTTATATTTTAGGCAGAAGCAACACATTGTGCAGTTATGGACCGGAATATTGGAAGCAAAATATTTCACAAAGCATCAATGAATTATAAATAGTTTAATATATTGACCCTCTATGTGTTGCTCCTCTGTGTTCAACCAAAAGTGTTCTCATGCTCCAGTCGTGCCCTTCCCCAAATAAAACAGGAAGTTTGGGGTTAGACCATCAGAGAGAGGGCAGGCGAGAAGGGGAGGGGGCTGATGTGGTGGTGAGGGGATGGGGGGCCGAAGTGAGTGAGTCAAACAAGAAGAATTTTAAGGGACATGGTGTAACTGGTTGTTACTCTATGTCCCTTGTCCCACATGGGAGCAGTCATTTCTCAAAACCAGTTTATTTTTAGGATTCTTTTAATGGATCTGATTTTAGCAATAATAGCCTAAAGAAACTTTGCCTTAAATCTCCACATATTTCTGCATCAGAACAATCGAGCCGGAGAAAAACACAATCCTGAAAAAGACAAAACTGTGATTAGCCACAGCTGGAGGAGTTCACATAGAAAACAAGAGTTAAATAAACAGGAAGGCGAATGGGACGAGCCTGACATCTACAAAAATAAAATCATGTGACGTGAAGCTTACCCTCCTACTGAAAATGAACAACCATTTGATATACAATGTTTATATTCTTTATTTCAGTTTTGCAGTGTCCATAAAAATGTTCTCACCCTTTAGATGTTTGACCTTATTTTTTTATTGCCTTTACTAATCAGCCATGATCAACATAATTTCTTTTGTCTTTTCTTTTAGACAAAAGAAAAGAAACCCTTTGATATCATAAAAGCAGATTTAGCTGATTGGCCTTTGGCAGCAGCCACAGCACAGACTGTGTGGATGGGTCCCAGTCAGGACCCTGCAGCTGACCTCCGCCAGGTTGAGCTCAGGTTGACTGTGAAGAGCATTGACTGGTCACATCCAGTCTATTACATGAACTACTCACTCACAGCTTGGACGGCCACATCCAAGCTGCAAATACTGGGATATTTGTCACTAGGCATCTATTTCTACGGAGCCCCAAAGGGGACAAGAGGGCAGTTTTTTTCTTTGGAGTTTCCTTACAGAAGAATTGTGTTCCCTCACAATAAATACTATTTATTATTATGTATTGCAAATACCTTTAAAAAACCTCATTGAAAATGCATTTATACATTCTTAAGTCTTTGATGCATAAAACTGAAAATTGATTTATTACTCTGTGTTCCTGTTTGTTTGTGTGATGCTGAGATGGGACTGAGGATGAAAATCCCCTTTTATTAACCAGACTACCAACAAAAGAAAAAAAAAAAGAAAGAAGTCACAATCAAAACTATCAAATGATTTTATTATCCCATGAAAATAACTCAAAAGTATTCCAAACAGTTTGGATGTATTGTTTTATCCTTCTTTTCTTACAGAAAGTTCCTGTTTAAGTCTAAGAAGTGATGGAAAACAGTGGAAAGCTCATGATTGTCCTGTTTTGCATTTTTCGCATAAGTTTGCGGTGCCTTTGTATCCGAGAGGAAAATATATTAAACTTCAAATATCTCACTAATGAGATATTAACATACAGAAAGAAAAAAAAAACCACTTACAAAAACGAGGGAATGATAAAGTCAAACAGAAACAGCAGTTAAAGCACAATTGCAAACTGCCACATCATGTCTTGGTGTCTCTGGTAATATTCAACGTTTGTCCTCATGCTTCCTTCACTCTGCTTCTACACAGAGTGAAAGTCTGGTCAGAATTGTTTGGCATGTGTTTCATCCTGCAGAGGGATGATATATGTGCTACACAAACATATCAGTTGATGAGTAGCTTAATGCTACGCTCCTTTTCTCCGCCAGTGCCGACTCACACATTCCTCGCCAATCTCTCAACACTTCTACAGCTGAGAGTGTTAAGGATGTTCAGCAGGACGTTCTAGATGTGGTAACTATTTATTTATTTATTTTGAACAAACAAAAAGTAAAATCAAGGAAAAAAAAACAATTGACATGTAATTTTACATTATCTACATTTAGAAGATACAAGATCTTATGATTTCCTGCTGCTCTCAGTCTCATCAACTTATAAACATTTGAATCTCCAAACACCAGATATACTTAAATTATTTCCTCCTTACATGACACTTAAATCTCACATTCTCATCCTTAAATGTACAATTATCTATACATTAAAATGTTTGGTCTTTGAAACACACATCTTGTAAGCTCCTTTTTAAACAGTTTTTTTTTTAATCTGGTTTATATTTGTCCGTTTTTTAACTCATCATTCAGTCCATTCCATAAATCTATGACACACACTAACAAAAACTCTTTGGTTGTTCTGATGCAATACACACACACACACACACATATATATATATAATTTTTATTTTCTT